GTACCTGTGTCAGTTTATTATTAATAAAGAATTTGAATAGGCTTCTGTGTGTATTCAGAGTTATGGCCCTGGGATAAAGACCTGAAGAGAGAAAGGACTTTACTGACTGCTAAAGACATACAAAGCTAAAGACTTACAAAACTCAACAGAAAATGAACATGTGTGCACAATATCAAGGCAGCAGGCCACAGATTTCCAGTTCATAAAAACTTCTGTCAAAGTCACAAAGTTCAAAAGCAATGAGCTAACCACTCAAGCAACGTAAATCTGCTGGAATGAACTATAGAGGCGATAAAATAAAAATTACACACTAATAAACATTTCAGTAAATATGCCTGTATTGGCAACAAAGCTCTTTTTCAGCTGTTTCACTGCCAGTTCTAAAGAATTGGCAAGAACCAGACAAATTAAGGTGAAATGCCTGTGAAATGCTATAAAACACCACATTATAACTAAGGTAAATGATAATTAAAACATGTCAACATTACTCTATCTAAATCTAGTTTTAAAGAGGGTAATGGCATGGGGGTGTCATGTGAAAATATGTAATATGTATTTCTTGTTTTTAAAACACTCCTCACTCCAACATTTTGTGGCCTTGCAGGTGAAACAGACTGAGTGAAAACATTTTTCAGTGAGTAAATAGCATAAATCAATATATGAAATAAGAAATTAATAGAAATAAAAAATTTCCGACCACAGGGTTTACTCCAGCTGTCCCCTACAACCCAATAAATCAACACATGGAAAGAAATTTAGATTAACTGCAGGCAAACAGAACTGAAGAAATGTAGATAAGGAGCTGCCAAAAAGAAGTAAAGAAAAATAACCAAATTCAGTCATAATTAAGGGAGAGCAATCCTGCTCCATGTCAGCACAAAAAGGATTGCATGATTGAATCCTAATGGATGGATTATAGAAAAGCTTCATTACTAAGGTATCACGCAATATGCATAATATGGTGGATAAACAGTAGTCTCAGACCTTTGCAACCTTGTTGATGCAGAGCATGATGATAAATATATACTTTCTAACTTCATGACTCTCCACTAAACACCGTTAAACTCTTAATCAGGAAGTGCCAGGAACCAAGAGCCTCCACTGACAACGTTTTAGAAAGAGTAGCAGGAAGCAGATTCAGAATTGCAAGGAAAAAAGTGTGTTGGAGCTCATTTAAAGTTTGCTGAAAAGGATTTATAGGAGCCAATAAAATATTTGGAGGGTATAGCGAGGAGGGAAAAAAAAACATCTCTTTGAATGTCAGTCACCATGTTTGCAGGAGAAACAGCAATGCACACCACCCTAACAACCCCATAACAAGGAATAGGTTTGGTGGGAAAAGCTGTTTTTTAGGATAATCAGCAAACATTATTCAACTGAATCAGCAGCGAGTGGAAAAAATGTAAGGAAGCATTCTTAATCATCTCAAGATGAAATAAGGGCATATGCTTTAGTTTGCAAATGACCAAATAGAAAAATGTTTATACTGGTTTCAGAGAAAGAAAGTAAAGAAGCCTGTGGTTTTAACATTATCCTGTGGTTACTATGGTATCTGGATTCTTCTAGGTAATACCGAAGCCATCGGAAGGGATCAAATTCTCAATGCAGCAGGCTGTTCTTGGAAGTGATGCAAATTAAAACCTTTTTATATGTACAATTTAGATCAGGGAGCTGTTTTAATCCAGGAGTAAACATTTTCTTTAAAAAAGTGTTTTATAAAGACAAATTAAATCAAAACTAAGCTGAATTATGTCAAAATAAAATACAGTAAATTACTAATTAGTGATGGAAGCAATTTCTTTTACATTGAGGTATACAGAATTTCAATTTTTAATACTGTTTAACAAACAATCTATATATCTACCTCCAATCTTTAGAAAAACAGCATCAGTGCAGTCTTGGTATATTTGTTCAGTAGTCAACAAGGTTACAATTATGGCTCTTTCTTGACGAGTGAGGAATAGTTAGCTATTAGGAGAGAAGCAGGTAATAATAGTTGAAATGGAGCCCGCTCTCAGCTCAGAGAAGGTGGTAAACAGAGGCCGTAAGTGGCAGCTGGGGAGCCATTTTGACTGATGATAGTGCTTATTGTTTGTCAGTCAACACTGGACAAATGGAGCTGTCTATACGCAGCTCTGTCCGCCAGCTGTCAAACAGAGAACCTCTCACAGAAACACTCACTAATGTTGTTTTGATACTGAAATGTTTGGGAAGTGAAACCAACCATCAGTTTTTAAGTTGCTGTCCCTGGATTGTTATGAAGTAGCTGTGTTATTTCTTCAAGTAGGACAAAATTCATATTGGCTCATGAGGAAAGCAACTGAGAAAGCAGCATTAGCATAGCAAGAAAAATAATGTCTTGAAAATGAGCATGATGTTTGCTTCATTTCAAATCTAAATCAGTTCACCTTATTTTTAACCTAAGGTTGTTTCTCTTTCAGATTTTGCATTTTCAAAAAAAAATTTTAAACTGATAGGAAAATAAAGACAGACTATGTATTATAAAACAGAAAACTCTTCTGATTGTCACAATGGGGGTGGAGGTTTGACAGGACCCAAACGCAGAAAAAAGCTTGAGGTGGTTACTTGAATGTTTTAATGCCAAAAGTTTAGCCAAAAATCTAAATCCAGCAAAATCCAAAAATGTTCAAAAACCAAGAATACTCACAACAAGAAGGAAACAAAGTAATGAGGACAAACCAGCAAAGAGTGACTGAACAGGAGGAGATTATATGGGAGAGAGAAACAAAGGCCAGGCTAATTAGCAGATTGAGAGCAGGTGTGAACAGAGGCAAGAAGGGAGCTAGGAAAAAAGAGACTGACACAAGAGGGCAAACAGGAAATTTCTAAGAACGCAAATACAATTAAAAATACCTAGAACACAAGAATCAAAATAAGACCAAGGAAAACTCAAAATAAAACTTGGACAAAACCAAAACCATGACACAGACTTAGTCCCATCAGCTCCTGGGTGTTTTACAGATTTAGAGATTAAATATCATATTTTATTTAATTACCCTGAAACAAGTGTTGTTGTAAGATTAACAAAATATAATCACCAAATATTCTTTATAAGAAATTCAGATGATCCCACATAGAACCTAAAGATAAAATCCATCCATCGTCCGTCCGTCCTTCTCTCCCTCCCTCTCTCCATCCATCCATCCATCCATCTTTGCCTCCCACCCTCCCTTACTCCCATCGTCCGTCCCTGCCTCCATCCATCCATCCATGCATCCATCTGTCCATCCCTTCCTCGCTCCGTCCATCTGTCCCTCCCTTCCTTCATCCATCCATCCATCCCTTTTTCACTCCGTTCGTCTGTCCTTCCCTTTCTCCCTCCGTCCATCCATCCATCCATCCATCCATCCATCCATCCATCCATCCATCCATCTGTCCGTCTATCCATTGATCTGTTCCTCCCCTTCATCCTTTCCTCTGTCCGTACGTCTGTCCATCCCTCCCTCCCTCCCTTCATCCCTCCTTTTCTCCATACATCCTCCTTCCATCCAACCATCCGTCCATCTTTGCCTCCCTCCCTCCCTTCCTAACGTCAGTCCGTCCGTCCCTCCCTCCCTCCCTTCATCCCTCCTTCCATCCATCCATGCATCCATCCCTTCCTCACTTCGTCCATCCGTCCTTCCCTTCCTCACTCCGTCCATCCATCCATCCATCCATCCATCCATCCATCCATCCATCCATCCATCCATCCATCCATCCATCCATCCATCCCTTCCTTAATCCGTCGTCAGTCCCTCCCTTCCTCCCTCTGTCCATCAGTCCCACCATCCATCCATCCATCCATCCATCCATCCATCCATCCATCCATCCATCCATCCATCCATCCATCCATCCATCCATCCATCCATCCATCTGTCAGTCCGTCCATCCATCCATGCATCCTTTCGTCCCTGTAAAATCTATTTACCAAGTGCCTAAAGTGTTGCCTGTTTGTTTCTCGCTTATGGAAAAATAAATCCCTCCATAAAATCGTATATGCTTGTTGTTGGCAACCGGTGCATATGTTTACTAAATAAAGGAAACTGGTTTTATGTCAGTCTGGGAGTGTCTGATGGTGAGCTCTGTTACCTGATAATCTCCCAGGTGGTGTTCACACTCTCAAGTGCTCACTTTAATTAAGCTCAGAGAAAAGAGACAGCTATATAGATATGTGAGCTATCCCTTTCCTCTGCTGAGCTCTCCGCTCCCATCAGCAACATTCTGTTTCTGTCCTGGTTGGTATAACACAACTTTAGATTTATTAAGTATTTACCTGCTTGATAAGACGTCAAAAAAAGTAAATGATATTGAAAACAAATTATTAATAGCACCGGTGCGATGAAAAGTTTATGATTTATTATTCAAAATATCAAAAACTTCTTCTAGCCTCTCATCCATCACTCTGAAATGTTTAGAAACTGAGATTGATTACCTTCTACTCTGTAAGTATTGTTTTTACATATTACCCTACATACAAGTTAGTCATAAATAATGATTGGTGATATTACTGATTACACGGAATACATTTCCTATATTTTCTAATATGAGATTAGATATATATATATAAAATAAATTCTGTAGTGCCAGGTTTGTCTATAACCAATTTGATATGCTCTGATGGGAATTGAACTGGAACTTTTTATCTTTATTTTAGTTTAGTATTGCTTATTCCCCTGCAAAAAAATAAAAAATAACATTAACACGTATTTTTAGTCGAGGTTTACAATTTTCCTGTCTGTACATTAAATCCGCTAATTTTTTTGGGCTTTGCCATATATTATCAGGCTCTTTATGCTCCTGAGCAGAAAAAAGCTGTCTAAGGATTATTCAGGCTTGTTGTGAAACTTGTTGAAGATCTTTACATCCTCATAGGAGCAACACAAAGTGTTTTACTGAACAATGGATGCACATGTTCAGTTATCTTTGACTTTTCAAAGACACAGCAATAAATTTACACATGGGATCGTAACCTCTTGTTTCACTGGTTTGGAGTGAAACACAACACTTCAAGCGGATGAGGTGAATGTTTCTGCTGTGAGGAGGAGCTTTAAAGGAGAAAACACAAGCGTACCTGAGCTTGAGATCATCTGTGAGAAGAGGAAAACACACCTTTTGGTAAGGTTGGAAACATGTTCAGCAATTATTTGTGTTGACTATCATTGAATTCATTGTACACAGGTATAGTTAGTTGTCAGGACAAAATTTAATTTGTTCCTTTGCCTTTCAGTTCAAAATATTCATCATTTCATCCAACGATTGCAATGGTAAGTGCTGTTTTCTATTAGTTGAAAAACTAAAAAGATGCGTTTTCTATAGCCAGCCAAAGTCTCATGTTTTATTCCCTTACCTGAGATGAAGAGCAGTGTGTTGTAGTCATACAACAGGGCGAACCGTTATGTTTGACTAATTAACTTTATCTTGCCTCTAGAAGGTCATCATCTAATCACCTAAATGTCACTTATATTGGAGGGACTTCCTCATTTTCCAATTTTCTTTTTCTCTAAAACACTCTAAGCCTCATCTCCAGTTTCTTTTAACTGACTGATACAGTTTTGTTTGTTGGCAGAGACACTCTGTTTCATATGATGTCTATTTCAAACTTGGGTCTTTCTACAAAGATGTTCTCATTACTAAAACAGGAGTTTTCCCCTGTCGTATACTTACATTAGCAGAATAGAGAAAATGAGCACCTTCATCTGATACGCTTGATTTAAGATGTTGAGACACTTCAGACTGTGTGATGAGGATAAGTAGCAAGAACTAAGTTTCAAATGGTGACATAGGTCTGATTTGTGACGTATTCCATTACATGATTGTGGAAACACTGTGTAGGCCTGGGTTTGTGTCCAAAAAGGGCTGAAGTTTATAGTTACATAGGCAATGCTTTTTAGTAGAAATCTGAGTGAAGGGGTAAATTCTTTAGCAGTTAAACAAGTTTTTGACCTTCACCTGTTTGTAGAAAAATATGTATAATTCACTGAATGTCTTATTTATTTTTGTTTTTTTTTTGTGCTATTTATACTTTCAGTTCTACAATAAACACACATGAACATAACCCTGATTGTAAGGGACAGGAGATGATATTTTTATACTTGCTGCAGTTAACGAATAGAATTTGTTTTTCATGTAAATTTAATTTTCTCTGTGAAACCATTTTGAACAGAAGTAAAAGTGAGAAAACACCCATATGACCAAACTAAAGATAGAGACCATAAAGGTGATGAGTAATACCTCGGTTTTTTAAACAGAACACTGTAAATGGATTTAAAACCAATGAGTCATCACTAATGATCACAAGAGGTGTTGCTAAATCATTTGCAGTAATTTTTTTGCATTTTTACAGCTACAGAATAAACCATTTCTATGGGAGACGTATTATTTCCAATCAGAAAAAGTGCGGGCCTAAAGCTTCTACTCTTTCAGTGTTCCAAATCATAACACAAGAAAACTGTAATATATTTAAAAGAAAGAAAATCACGATTTCCTACCTTTGTTGTGGTAGTTTTAGAAATAAGGATATTATGATAAAAAAAATTATATATATATAAAATGCTTGTTGATGTGTCTTGTAAATCTTGAAATTCGTTTTACGTTTTGCTATTTACAGGAGTTCAGAGGCAGTGTCAGACCCTTTGTTAACTTTAACGCCAAACATGATGCTGAAATCCTTCACAAGGCGATGAAAGGAATTGGTGAGTTTTTAGACATTGAATGCTACTTTGTTTGCTCTTCTTTAGCATGCTAATGGGTGTTGATAAATTCAATTTCATCTTCACAAAAAATGTTTGACGGCATGTTTAATAATTGTTCATTATATTGTAAGGGACCTCAAAATTAAACATTTTTCAACTGACACAAACTTGATTTTCTTCTAACATCAGTTACATTTGCATGTAGCCTCATTTATAAATGTACTTTTATACACAATGTGGTTTTTCTATATAAAATATTGTAGAAAAAAAAAAGAAACCCAAAGCAATCATGTCAAGCAGATTTATTTTTACAATGGATGCAAAATCATTATGAAAACAATTTATGCCCATTGGTTACTAATGCAGAAACCATACATTTGTTAAAGCAGACAGTTTAAAGTAGTCAGTTGTCACCAGTTGTCTGAAGGAAGTGCTAAACAAGAAAAAATGAGATTATTGAGGAGTTTGCAGAATCAGCTAACGGCCAAAACGAGGAAGCAAGATTGTATACAGGAAGAAGCTGGAAAGAAAGCTCCACATGAACAATATTAGAAATGGGGATAAAGATCACAGGCTTCAAGCAGGATGATGATGGACAGAGCCAAGGAACTGAGCACATTCTTCAACAGGTTCAGTTCAGGAACAAGCCTAGTATCCTTCTATCCTGCCAGCAGTCAAATGCCCATCCTGCCCTCCTCTGACCCAAACATTCTCTCTCACACCTCAAAAGTTTTATCTTCCACCACTGTCATGGACCTCCAGCCTCTATGCAGGAGTATAGAGGCTGAAGTATAGAGGCTGATTTATTACTTTTTAAAGTTTACTAGAACTTTTTATTGGAATTTTATATATTATTTGATATCTCCACTTTTTGAAAATATCTGAATGTGGCTCACAGATGCTATATATTAAAGGATAAGAAAAACCAACAGCTGAAGCTGGCTGTAAAAAAACCCAACAAACTAGTCACTCGTCCTGATGTCATAGTGAAATTAAACTACATCTTCCTTGGTTCCAAATTTAGCTAATTTAGGCAATTATCAATCTAAAAAGTGAAACACGCTAATTCACCATTATCCTAATTTGGCTATGTCACCATATATTTTCCCCCTTGAATTAAGCCAAAATTCTGTAAAAATGTAGAACATAATATTAAGTGGCTTGTAAAATCAATTGTTTGTTTCGACAGGTACCAATTTCATCTGAAAGTATACAGTTGAAATAGGTCTGTTTACAATCTCACAGCACATTTCTGTTTTAAATTAATGTTCTTTTATTAACACTATCTCAAAATTATACCATAGAAAAACCAAGCTGGCCCTTGCCAATTTGTTTTTTTATTTTTTTTAAATATTTACATTCCTTTGTCTCATTGGGGTTTGCAGGCAATTTTTAAATCACAAATTGTCCTTTTAAAGTCTTACCAGAGCATTTCAGCCCAGTTAAGGCTTGGACTTTGGCTTTCCCATCCATTCTGTCAGAGATGCAAGGTTGTATTTGGGATTAATTCTGTGTAGCAGTTTCTGTTACCCTTTTATATCAATGAATCATATAAACTGTTAAGGAGCAAGTTTCCAAAAAAATGTGCATTTGTTAAAGTTAAGAAGTATCCACCTTAATTACATTTTTAACCTGGATTGATATTCAGCAACAGTTGCTTATAAAGATTGCAACCTTTGTCTGTTATAGTCAGAATAACATGAACACACATAACTCAATGTCTCAGGCCAACAATCGCTAATGGTGTTAACGTTACAATTTGTCCTTGTTATCTCAAAGGCCTTTCATTTTAGCTGTGATCAGACTTGTAGCTCAAGATTGTTGAAAATAATTTTCTTAATTACTTAGGCCTGTTTGTAAAAGTACATGACACCCCAGAAAAAAACACAATGCAGATGAGAACAAAGCACAAAACATGATGGTGTTAAACCTTTAATGCTGCTCTTTAAAATATGAAATTATAACACAATACGAGACAAAAGCAGTGATTAAACATTCTAATGCTCAAATTTTACCTCATTTACTGAAGATTTATATGCAGATTAATGCAGCGGGGCTTAAAAAGCAGCACCCTAGGGATAAATATAAAAAAACGAAATGCAAGTTGTTCCTTGTGACAAAAACTGTAATATAAAACACAGCAATTTTTTGTCAGCATTCATTATATGTTCAAATTCTGCAATGATTTGGACCAGTATTGTTGCTCTGATGTGTGCAGGTGTCAGCATGGTCCTCCCAACAACAATATCACCAGAATAATCTACTTTTCTATTTGCAAAGCTATGCAGTAATGTAATGGCATGACGCAAATATAAGCAATCTTTGAATTCCAAACTAAACTAAATCATGAAAAGAGTTTTCAAATCTACCGTATATATGGAGAAAAAAATTGCATTTTGCTATATATAATATTTAAGTATCTGGTATTAAATTTAGTTTTATATAACTTTTAGGGTCACTTTTAAGGTGTTGCCAAATGCCTAAGAGAACCCAAGATTTAGCCAGAGTGCACGGCAGTTAAAAAGTTTATTGAGTTTGTTAGGGCAAAAGACTGAACTGGAGTTGTAGTCAAACAGGCTAGAAGTAGACTTGAGATGGTAGATTATTACAGACCAGCCTGATGGCACAATTTAAGCATGGAGATGATAACTGAACAGCCTTATGGCAGGCTTTAAGCAGAGAGATGATAACTGACCAGCCTGATGACAGGCTTTAAGCAGGGAAATGATAACTGACCAGCCTGATGACAGGCTTTAAGCAAGGAAATGATAAGCCTGATG